AATCATATATGAGTTCCTTAGTACAGGTGGCACCATGCTAAATTGTGGAGTATTTGGATGGGTAGATGGAAAGAAGGATAGATAGAAGAAATCAAAACCTCACCCTCATGGAAATTAAAATTTAAAATTGTCCCAATTGACTTTCAAATAGAAATAAAGTTTACTGAGGAGGAGATTAAGCTTTCTTGAGCACTGGTGGAGAATTGGGAATTCAAAGTGGGGCAGAAATGAAGGGACAGTGCATTGTTAGGTTAGAGACAAATTCAGAAAAAAAGTTCTGCCACAGATTCAGAAATACATACATGTTTCTTCCTTTTCTCCAGGGGAATGGTTGGATAAATTAAAATTTGAAAAGATTAAATGTATCATTTGTCTAATAAACTTTGAACTTCTAATATCCCTGAGAGAAAAATGCTTGGTGGGCATCATTAAATATTAATCACTAGAGATCAGTTTAGCAAAGAAATTTAGTTAGGTTGGAACAGCTTTTAAGAAACCAATTACAGTGTGGGTTATGAAAAAGAAGTGGAAGAAGCCCAGGGAAAATATTAGAAAATGCAAGTCCCTTCACCCAATGGAATTTTTGCAGAGAATTCTGGCCAACCATCTAGTCGAGACTTAAGATGGCAATGAAAATAGGCCCTTGTACTGAGGATATGCTAAAAAGCAAAAGCTGAGATTATTAAAATTGCAAAAAAGCTTCCTAACAAATATTTTATTTTTAATACTTAAGTATTTGATTCAAAGATAGATAGGAGTTAGAAAGAAACACTCATTTTATGCTCACTTTGTAAAATTTGCTTATATAGAAATTCCCCAAATTAAATATCAATATAGATTTGGAAAAGAAAATATTTTTTCATATTTTGTTATGTTGATTATTCAAAGGGATTATGAAATTGTTTTCATTTAGGGAAGTCTTATAAGGTTAATTTTGCCAGTTCTATTTCAAGGTAATATGGGGGATTCTGACAGTTTTTTGAAGACTTATAAAATGTTAGAACTTGAAGACATATTAGAATTCAACCTCATTTTTCATGTATGAAAAAAAGAAATGAAAGTGGTTGAATGAGGAGTAAGTCAGTGATTGTAAAGAGAAGGGATAACAGTCCTACATGTATATTCACCTGTAAACAAAGTATCAAACCATGTGAAGCAAAAACTATTAGAACTGTAAGGAAAATGAGACAAATCCATAATTATAGTTAGAGATATCAACACTCCTTTCTCAGTAGTTGATAAAACAATAGGCAAAAATCAGTAGGGATACTAAGACTTGAATAATACTATCAACCAACTAAACCTAACTGACACGTATAGAATACTTCCCCCCAACAACAGCTAATTACATATATTTTTTCAAGTGCACATTGGACATTTTCCAAGATAAACTATATTCTGGGTGATGAAACAAATCTCAATAAATTTAGGATGCTGAAATTATGCAAAATATGTTGTCTACCCACAACAGAGTGAAACTAGAAATCAATAGCAGAAAGATACCTGGGAAGTTCCCAAGTATTCAGAAATTAAACAATACACTTGTTAATAATCCATGGATGAGTCAGGGAAGAAATCAAAAGGAAAATTAGAAATTTTTTTAACTACATGAAAATAAAAGCACAATTTATTAAGTTTTTTAGTGGGATGAACTAAAAAGTGCTTAGAGGGAAATCTGTAACATTAAATGTGAGTATTACAAAAGAAGAAAGTTCTAATCAATAATTTAATCTTCTATTATAAGAAACTAGAAAACAAAGAGCAAATTAAAGTCAAAGTAAGTGAAAGTAAGGAAATAGTAAAGATAAGATCAGAAATCAATGAAATAAAAAGCAGAAAAATAAGAAAAGTAAACCAAAACTGGGCTGATTGAAAAAATTAATGAAATTTAAGAACCCCTAGCCAGACCAATTAGGAAAAAAGAGAAGCTAATGGTCAATATTAGGAATGAAAGAGAAACATTACTAGAACTCCTAATGACATTAGGATAATTAGGAAATATTATGAACAACTCTACCAATAAATTTGACAACCTAGATAAAATTGATATATATGGACAATCTTATAATGTGTTATTCAGTAATTCTACTTCTAGGAATTTATATTTGATAAATAAAAATAGACAAAGATTTTTACACTAAGATGTTTATCCAATGATTATTTATAATAGAAAAACCTTAAATGAACCTTAAATTTCCAACAACAGGAGATTAGTAAGATAAACTGTGATACAATGATGATAATGATGATAATAGAGAAAATTTGATATATAATGTTACATTTAAAAAAGCAGGAAGCAAAATTGGCACAAGTGGTGATCTCAATATAAAAAGATATTTATAAACAAGAACTGGAAATTGTACCCTTAAATTATTATACACTAATAAATTTTTATTTTAATTTGTTAGGTTGTTTATTTTCTTCTTAATTTTTCTTATATTTTCCAAATTTGCTAAGAATGAAATATCAGTGCCATGTTTTGACTATCATATATGAAAAACCTGGTTTTATCATTTCAAATATTTTTTTTCTGTAAACAGAAAAGATATAACTTCTGTTTTGATGCCAGTTGATTTTGTTTTATCAATTTAAAATCATGCCTTTTAAGAAGAATGACTAGTATTCAAATATTTCTGTGTACTTCATCCTTCCTCTGGTAGGCACATTTTGAGACCGTCATTACACCATCTGTTCCATCAAGGTACCCAAACCTGCATCTGTACTCCTGTCCTCTCACTTTCTCAGTTCAGGTGTCAGTGGGCAAAATGTATGTTTGTTTTCCCTTATTTTTTTTCTTTCTCTTATTGCTCAGAATGATCAAAGCATCTTTTAGTGGGAAACCATTCATTATGTTTTTCTCTTTCATCCTTCATATGGAAACCATAATTCAGTGGAAATTTCTAGCACTGATTGAGGGCATATCCCTCCTTTTCGTTTATGCATCTTCCATCTCCGCCCTGGCCCTTAGTATGTCACATCTGAGCTACAACAGCCAGCTCACCTGCCTTTAGTTGCCGCATGTCAACTCATTCTAAAGAAGTCATTAGAATACGCTTGGGACACAATGTATATCCTTTCCTTTCGGAGATCCTACAGTGAATGACTTCACTTTTCTTATGAAATCCCATAATTGGAGATAATTAAAAACTACTTGGTTAAAAACTGCAGGGTCTTCATCTTAAATCTTTTAACCTAATCTCCCTTTTGGTACATGAAGACTAATGATCTTGAACCATCTGAGGATTATGCCTGTAGCTCAGAATAAATGGGCCTTTTACATATACATACAAGTTTTTTTTTGGCCTTTTTTTTTTTAAGAGATAGGGTCTACCTCTGTCACCAGGCTAGAGCGCAATGGCCAGATCATAGCCCACTGTAACACTTCAACTTCCTGTGCTCAAGTGATCTTCCCCTGCTTCAGCTTCCCGAGTAGCTGGGACTACAAGCACACACCACTCATCTGGGCCATCGTCGCCTGGCTGCCCTCTGTCTCGTTTCTCCTTACTGTCCACTTTTCCATACTCCACCCATAAGTTTTCATCTGGCTCATTCATCGATTCATACTCAACATTCAAATATTGCCTTAAATATCACTTCCCACAGTGGTCTTCTGCAGTCCCCAAATCTAACTTTTGGTTCTTTCTGTGGCACTGACTGTAGTTTTTAATTATCTTGTGTATTGTACAGTTTGTTTAATGCCTTCCTGTTCTGCGAGCCCTAAGGTTTCCTGATCATATACCCCAATGTCTTGCTCTGTCTTTGCCTAGCACATAGTAGGTGCCAAACAAGTTATTGTTGAATGAATGAATGAGTGAAAGAAGGAAAAAAAGAAGTATGATAAACAATTACACAACACTGATGAGAAAAGAAATTGCAGTTTTACTGCTTCTCAGAGAAAAGTATATTAAAGCATCTATTTTTAATCTATTTAGTTAAATCATTTAAAGTTATAATTCTCATTTTCAGCTAAGATTTGGGGAGAAGGACACATTCATACAATACATGAAGAGAGGAATCTTTTCTATATTCATTTTTGTTTATTAAATATTTGTTAAATGAGTAAGAAGATTAATATAATCAATATGGAAAGCAGTCTAGCTAAATGTATTTAAAACATCAAATTGTTTTTATTGACTCAGTATTTCTACCTAAGAATTTGTCAAAGGAATAATCCTAAATATGGAAAAGGTTATGTATTTAAAGATATTTCTCACAGTGTTGTTTATAGCAGTAAAACACTAGAAACCACCTAAATGCCAAGTGAAATAATGGCTGAGTAAAGCATAGTATATCCACTGCTGTGGTCCCCAACCTCCAGGCCATGGACCGCTACCAGTCTGTGACCTGTTAGGGGCTGGGCAGCAGAGCTCCATGAACACCCCCCTGCCACCCTGCCCACACTCCCCGTCCATGGAAAAATTGTCTTCCATGAAACTTAGGATGGGGAGAGAGCGGGGCACAGCAGGAGGTAACCAGCAGGCAAGCACAGCTTCATCTGTATTTATAGCCGCTCCCCATGGCTTGCATCACTGCCCGAGCTCTGCCGCCCCCTACTGTCTGTGGAAAAATTGTCTTCCATGAAGCCAAACCAGTCCCTGGTGCCAAAAAGGTTGGGGAATGCTGCACTATAGTATATGAGTAACCCATAAAGTAAAGATTAGGATAATTTAATGACTTCAAAATGTTTACAGTACAAATGCAAATAAATGAAGAACACAAAGTTTTATAACTAGGTTTATAAATCCTATCTATAGAGGGGAAAAAGACTGGAAAGAAATATATCATGCTACTATGGTATGGCAACGGGTGATTTCTTTCTTTCTTCATATACTCTTTAATATGCATATACCGTATTTTTTTTACAAAGATTATAATTAAATTGTGCATGTATAACATAGCTTGTATATTAAGAGTTCATTTCAGTTTCAGCACATTTAAATGAATCTCAGTCCTTAACATTTTACAGTCATTGACCTGAAATGCCATGCTTTCTTTCTTAGGATGACAAAACCTCTACGGGAGGTTCCTACACTCGTGAGTTAGATCTCTCATCCTCTTGGCAGGACCATAGTCGCTTCCTATCTAGTCCACGATTTTCACACTTGAACTGTAAGTAATGAAGTCCTGTACCAGTTTTTAAATTGAATTTGAGAAAATACAGCACACAGAAAAGTGAAAGTTTAAGGTTGGTGACATGATAGTAATAGTCAGAAGTCTGAGAAAATTCTTATTATGAATCATACAAATAATGCCTAAGTATATTTATAATATTTAATTTACTAAAAAATATATGGAATCTTGTCTTTTTAGACCTTGTACTTTTCAGAAAAACTTACATCACTGAAGGTGAAAATCTTAAGTAAGCAAATTTTTTATTTTAACTATGAATGAGTAAAGGAAGTTATACAATTTGAGTCATCAAAAAGCAGAAAATCTTTGCATATAACTGTTCAGAAATGTGTAATCTTGTACAAAGAATAAGAATGCCTGCTAGATTTCACTCTATGAATACTCTGTAACTCTTGCTACGATGTCATCAACAATATCAACAAGATATGGGTCCATTGGCCCAGGGTGCCATCCCCCACTATCTGTCCCCTCTTCTTCCTATATTTGTTCTTCACATTTCAGCTTTTATGTTATGTACTTAAAGAGACTTCAGAACGTACAGTTTTACATGTGGTCTCTGTTATGAGTACCCGCAATGTGCTATACAAGTTTCCTTTGAAACCTTCTTCAGAATAGTAATTATAGAGTTATTTGTTATTTGAGTGGCTTTTTGTTCCCTAATTCTTCTCTCCACCAAAGAGTGAACTCCATGAGGATATGAGCAATGCCTGTTATGTTCACCACTGTTTTCTCAGCACTCTACATAGTACTTGGCACAAAGTAAATACTAAATTAATATTCAAATAATATTAGATAAAAGCATGTATGAGTTTTTTTAAAGTCCACTTTTATCTAAACTATTGAGAGTCAAATGTTACTTAATGGATTCTTATTTAGATGATAATTTAGCTCTTCAGTTTACCATGGGCCTGGAGGGTTATACATTAAATTTGATAATTCTGTCATTTAAAATAGCTAGATTGGTCTAAAATGAAATACCAAAATGAGCCACAAGGAAGTAGGTCAAATCCAAAGGTGATAAATCCCATTTTTGCTGATTTATATTCATGGATTCATTGAATAAATATTTATCAGTCTCTGATAAATGGTTTGGTTTTTATTATTTCATGATTATTTTATTCCGAATGCTAAGCATTTTCTCTTTCCTGTCTTAATCGTTTTACCAAGTGATTTTGTATCTGCATAAACCCTCTGCTATTCTAATCTGGCAGGCACCCCTCAATATGGGGCATATCTCAAGTTGGTTATGGCACCTCAGAATCCAATGTATACATCGGGCAGTTTTTTTTGTCACTCATGTTAAGCAATGGAAAAATTTCCCCAGGTCTGTTTAATATATAAATAAACATGGAGGAGGGTTAAGGACTAAGCACCATCAAATATCAGAGTATCCCACTCAATAAAACATTCAAGAACCTGGAGAACGGAGGTCTTTGTTCTACTGCAATTTAATTTTTCCATTATGACTTTCACAGGCTCCCTAGAAGGGCATCTAGAAGGAAATGGTTTGAAGACATTAAATGGAAAACATCAAGATTTTTGAAATTTTATTTAATATTATGATAAGCAGCGAAAGAAACTACATTTAGCTTTCTATTCTAGCATTTCATGACCAGCTGTGATCATTAATTAAGAAATATTTCTCACAGGCAGCCATAGGTTTCTATATAAATATACTGGCTCAAAAGGAAATAAAGTTAAATAAGAATAGGAAAAAATACTATTGAGATATTTTGAATAAGAAAACACTTACTATAGTTTATATTGTAAAATCTGACTGAAAAATTTAGCTTAAAAAGTAAAACTGCAAAAAAAAAAAAGTAAAACTGTTTATTAGTTATTTACTTAATTTATTGATTAATTCATAGCCTTATGTTTTACCATTCTTCTTATTTACAAATTTGTTTTATAATTTTCCTCCTGGGCCTATCACCATATTTTCAAGATACTTTTTAAAATTTAGTCATAGCTACCTTATCATTAATTATTTTTAAGTAATTAAACTCATTTCTAAAAGTCATATTTATTCTTATTTGCTTTTCTGATGAGCCTTGAATTTTCCATATGTTTTTAATAATGGAGTATATTAGAAGTGGGAAGAATTAAGATCACCCTGAATACTTCATTTTTGTAGCATAATTTCAGTTTACTTATAGAAATTGCCCTGTTAGTTCTCTTTAATCTCCCTTTAAACTTCCAAAATTTAAAAAAAAAAGATGTTGGCACCAACAAAGAGAAAAGCAGAACCTATAGCAAATGGATAATACAGGGAACAGAAGATGTTTTAAAAAAAATTATTAATACCCTCAGAGAGATAAGAAAAAATACTATGTCCATTAACTTTAATAAGAGCAAGATACCATGAAAAAGGAACACAAAATAAGAGGGTTCAGAATTCTAAAATATGATTGCAATAAAGAAAAATGAAAACCAGAAAGTTAGGAAAAAAAGTTGAAAAAACTAGAAAGAAAGGAGAAGAAAAAGAAAAAGAATGGGACAATAGAGGGGAAAGATAAGATTTTTAGAAAATCAATTCAGGAGGGACAATGGAGGATTAATGAGTCTTGGAACGAGAGAACAAGTAGAAGGTGGCCGGGAGTGGCCAGACTAGAAGGGCCTACCCAACAAGTACCTACTGCAGAGCGGTCATCCTGCGATTCTTTTCCACCCTCTGCCTATATTGATAACTCATGTTTCCCAGATCCTATACCTCCCTCTTTCTTGCTTCTCTTCATTGTTTTGTATGAGCACATCAAAGAAAGGGAGGTAAATATTTTCAGTCTTTGTATTTCTAAAAATAGACTTTTTTCCATTCACACTTGACCGAAACTTTAGCTGGCTATAAAATTCTAAGTTGCAAATGCGTTTTCTTCTGAAGTCTTTGAACAATTATCCTCCAAAATCCAATGTGGTTGTTGAAAAATCATAGACATATAGGTACAGACTCTCTTTCCTTTGAAGTCATCCTCTCTACCCGCTCTTTACCTACCACACGCTTCCTACCCCTGGCCCTGGGAACTTTTAGGATCTTCTCTTTAACGTCAACGAATCTGAGATATTGTAAGTCTTATTTATTTTTCTAACTACTTGTTGGGTGGGCCTTTTTAATCTGGACATTCATGTTCTTCACTTCTCCCATGCTAAAGAAAGAATGGAGAGAGATTCTTTGACAGAATCTTTAGGAAACAAACAAAAAACTGATAGATTATTTGATACAGCTAAGCATCTAGAAAAAAAAAAAGATCACTAATAGACATATGGCAGATCTAATTGAGCAATTAGAAACAATTAATATGGTCACGGAGAGAGAGCAAAAAAAAAAATAGAAGAAAATTTAAAAATTAATAAGCCTAGAAGAAAAAATGAACAAGAAAAGAAACATTGTCATAGTGTACCTATTAGGTTTGTATGAGCCATATTTACATAGTCATAATAATATAAACACTCACTACTGACATAACTAAAAGTTCAGAAGTAACTATATTGGGAGGATGAGGTGAGGAGGAGTGGGTGGTGTGGATAATGTCTAAAAATGATAAATCAGAAAATAGCAATATAGGCTTTTTTTACATAGATGAAATAAATACAGAAAATAAAGCCAAAAGAGTTGATTGTGACGCTCTTTTGGGGAATAGGATTATGGGATTTGGAGAGGTGGGGCAAGAGACTCCTGTTTTTCTGTGAAACCTACTGGTACTATTTGATATGTATATGTACACTTTGGCTAAAAATGTTTCTTATGAAGATAAATGCTACTAATAAAACCCCAGCTTTTATCTCTGACCAGCAATTTCCCAAAATTCTCTTGTTAATTTCTGTATGAAACATGAAATTGGGGTTTGGAGTTTAGGGTGATTTAGACCTGTATAGGGACTTGGGGAGTGGATAACCATAGGTCTTTAGGCAGACATGAGTTTCTGGGCCCACAGAACAGGCAACTTCTTATTCCAGTTGATATTTGTACTGAATGAGGCCTTTCGTCTAAGCTGTAGATGCTAAGGTATTCATTCTGCTGACTTAGATGCCCTGTCAAACTGTGACCAAACTAAAGCATAGAATCACTGACCATGGAAAAAACAAAGGAAATGGGAAAATACTGCATAATTTGTGGTCTCTGAAATGATCCAGCATTAATGAAAGTTTGTTTTAAGAAGTAATTTATGTCAGCTTTGTGTAGTTCAGGTCAATTCAAGAAAAGGTAGATTCCTTCTGCCAGCAAGAAGGGAAGAAATGTATAAATTGTAAGCTTATATTACCATTGGAAATAGGAACACAGAAATCCATTATTTAAAACCATGATCACTACCAAATTTATCCTGGCTGGCTAGAAGTTATGGCCATGAGTCAGGACACTCTTTTAGAAGACTTGGATTCCATTACCTTCAGCCTGTAGACAGTGGGGGCTTAGTAAGAGAGACGCATAATGTCAGCTTTTGAAACTGTCATTCTTGTTTTTTATAAGTAGCAACTGGCCACTCGTCTCCATGTATAGCTCCTTTTAGATTAGAGGAACACAACTCCAGGACAGGCTCATCACTCCCGGGGTTTGACAGGACCAGCCTTGAGTGAAGTCTGTAGTAATCTGATGACTTCTAGAGATCTCTAGTCCTTTGAGACAAAAATGCTTAATCTTTGTGGAGTTGGTGTCTCCAAACCAAATTTTAAAAATAAATGCAGATTGCAAGTTTTCTGTAAATCTAAAACAGTTCTAAAAAAAAAGTTCATTAAAATAAATAAACCCAAAAAGAAAGGACTGTGATTTTTCATGGGAAAATAATGTTATCTAAGGATTATTATAGAAGTTGGAAAGGAATCTTACATATTATTTTAACTTGATATTCTTAGGAAAACAAATTAATAAAAGTTGCTTAAAAAAACTATTTCACTTCCTTACCACAGTTTTCATTGGTATAAAAAGAAAAGTTAGTATTCTCAATTTGTGTTTTGAGGTGCCTCTAAGTTCCTTGGGTGACAAATAATTTATGCACAGCAAGAATAGCGTACTATTTCCACGTCCGTGTTATTCTCCAAGGTCCACCTGGCTAACTGTGAATAGACACTTCATATGCAGTCTGTTCACAAACTTGTGGGATAAAATGCCAAAGATTAATGGCAAATAAAAACATTAGGCCACCGATAAGGCAAGAAAATTGTTTCTTGTCCATTAAAGGATTTAATTCCATGAAAGCACAGTGACTACATTTCAGGTATTTTTCACTGATCAGTTAGATGCCACATATTGTTAAATAATTGAGTTCTGATTATTGCAGTTTAACAAGGTACTCTCTAGATGCTCTCAAGAAAGCAGCTATAAAATTCTCAATTGTCTGTCTTTTAACTTGTTCAACCAATATTTAGAAAGAGGCCATGCACCATGCTCTGCATTCAGTTCTGGAAGAGACAATAGTGAACAAGACAGGCAAGGTCACCTTTTCTCATGGAAAAACAGGTAGTGAGCAAGTAAACAAACACTTTAAAGTGACAAATTGGTGCTATAAAGGTGAAATGATAGAAGGTCCTGGCACAGGATCACTCCTTTAGATTGACAATCAGGGGATGCCTCTCTAAGAGGTTACAACTCAGCTGAAACCTGAATAGCAAGAAGAACGGGCTGAGTCAAAATTGGATAGGAAGAGTCTTCCTGAAAACGGAAGCAGAAAGTACAAAGACAGGGACATCGCAGGCTAGAGAGGTGGCTGCCAAGCGAGTGAGCCAGCGAATGAGCAAGAGTGTGGCCATAGTCAGATGTTTGCATTTTATTCTAAGTTATGCAGGACAGTGGGTTATGCAGAAGAGTGACAATCTGATTTACTGTTTAGAAAGAAAATCCTGGTTGTGGTGTTGGACAAAGGATTGTAAGGGAGCAAGATGACAAACAGGAAGGGAGAAAACGGTGACCTGGGCTGGGGCGATAGCAACAGAGATGGTGTGAATCAGCACTCAGGTGAAATTGGACGGTAGAATCATCAGAGCTAACTCTTAAATTGGGTGGATGGATCAGACAGAACAAAGGAAGAGAGGAAATCAAGGTTTGAGAAACTGGGCAGATGGGTATGTATATGTCATTTTCTAGAAGGAGAAGAGTAAGGAATGAGCAGGCATCAGAGAGTAGAAATCAGGGAAGATTTCACATGGACATTTGAATTTAGGTGTCTGGAGCTCAGAAGACAGGGAAGACGTAGTAGAAAAACATAAACTCAGATTCTAGATTTATTCTCAGCAGACTAGAGGATGAGACAAACAGGATTCCATAAAAAGGAGGCCCTTAAGATTTCTCCCTCTAAAATGCGTGTGTCTGTGTGTGTGTGGTTTATATCATTGTATTCTGGCAAAGCACACACCTTCCATTCTTGGCTAATCTTCAAATTAAAAAAAAAAACTTTTAAATCATATGAATATGTGGTTTTGGGAATGTAGTAAAGTAATTTTGCTTATTCTTACATTGAAGGTCTGTTAGTCCATGTAAAGTTTAATTATAGAAAACTAAATCGAATACCATGATTTATTAACTACCCTCTGCAAAATTAATTTGTTAGCCCAGGTTTTATATTCACCTAGGTTTATTTTTCTCTTTCCTCTCACCTTGCCAGCATTTTCCAAAAGAACTGTTGCTCCAGATTCAGCTTCAATCAAGGAAGATGCCACAAGTTTACCAATGAATGGAACAAGTCCACAATCCAAAAATGAGGAATATGAGAGCTAAAAAAGCAAACTTAGTTACTTTACATGAGTGTTTTACAAATAATAACATCTGTTCTTGCAGCAGTTCGGCCTAGATTATCTAACAGACATACCTGCAGTTTCGGCTCTTCGGTATTGCCAAGCACTGACTAAAATGACGATACGGTGGTCTTTGTAAATGATATCAGTTGAACCAATCCAAATAATATCAGTTCGTGAATGGCGTGCAGCTAATTTATTGGCAACTTATATGAGCACAGAAAGAGTGACATTTTTCATTTTGCAATTTCCTTTTTAAGTGTGGTCAGTCACATTTTCCTGACCAAAATTTGGATTTATAATTGAGGCCTTTCAAAAATTACTGGCTAAAAAAGGGAGGAAAATGAGATCCCCTCAAGGCAAAAGTGGCCAGCACTTTAGATTCAGGGAGCATTTATATACAATTGATTTTTAAAAAATGCATTCTCTCTAATAAATTATCATGTGTTATAACATGTCATGGAGATATGCATATATAATATTAGACAGTCCACTTTATAAATGCTAGGATTGTTACATCCATCATCTCAGCAGTCTATTACTACATGCGGTAGCTTAAAATTATTTCCAATCATCCATTTTTAATAGCAATAAAGAATTTATAAATGATATCTGAATCGTAGAGCATTGTAAAGAATTCATAGCACAATTTATTTATTTATCTTTGGGTGGCCAAATATCTCACTATGATGACTTTGGTCATAATCTGCACCATCTTTGGTTTACTGTGACCAAAATCACAGCACCAAACTCCTGTGTCCATGAGATTTACTCTGCAAGCATTCTTGTATAATTTGGTGCTGTCTGCTTCTAGCATCCCAGCTTTTCTGGACATCAAAGTGTTTTTGAGAATTATTCCCTTTACATGCTGATCTACCAATGGAGAAAGATTTATATTAAATGCTAAGGAATGGTAAACTTCCAGGAACTGAATCCTATTGGGCCATTGTGGGAAGATTCTACACAGAAACAAGGACAATAAAGCAATACCTTTGTAATGTGCATTGTATTTTGTGTTTGTCAAAGTATATTTGCTTGTTAGATTTCTCATATTTCATAAAAATGCTTCTATTTACATTCAAGATATGTTTTCCTAACTTGCCATATTTGAAGGTACAGAAGAAGAAATGGCACTCTCTTTCCGTGAACTTGAATGCAACTCTTACTATAGTACATGGGGATGTTTCATATAAAAAATTACATAACACAACTATATAATCTTTGAGAGTATAGCCACGCATTTTATCATTTATTCATTCCAAAACACCCCCCTCCTTTTTTTTTTTTTCTTGGTTCCTAGTATATGCTAGTCATTGTGCGAGGAGGAAAAAAAGAGATATAAAAACAGGTATGCATGTCCCAAAGTTTGTTTGGCATTAGGAATTAGATGAAAAAAGAGGTGACGTATTCAGGCTAGCCGGAGAAATTCTGGATTAGACAACATTAAACAGGTTTGGTTTTCTTTTATCTAACTTCAGGACTTCTCAGAGCTGTGTAATGTGCTAATTAGCATTCTGAGGTCTTAGTGGGAGTCTCCCTTTTGAAGGAGCAGCTCACAGTCCTGATGTTCCATATAACCTGCATCACCCTAAGATAATATTTAGGGCATTGAGAAATTATTGCCATAGATGTTTTGACCAACACCATAATATTTTAGCCTTTGGACCTAAATAACAGGAAAAAAAATAAGGGAGAAAATTAACAGGTTTTACTTAAATCCTAAGGATAAAAGTTAAGTAGCTTTTCCCTTTATGTATTAGTAGGGACTTCAGCCCATTCTGTTTAATAGGAATTGATCTAAACCATTATTAGTGCATCTGTGGTCATTAATAAAAAAAAATTAAACCAAGCCAGTTAGACCCAAAAGTTTAAGGTAACTGAAATTATTTACTTAGAAAATCCTTGAAAACATATTAGCTTGTGACTTTATAACAGAATGGAGAGGACTCTTGTGAAAGACGTTTTTAAATTTGAAAAAAAAAATGTCATTATATCATGTTATTGAATGCCCTGTGCTACTATTGGATGAATGAAGGTGTCTAACTTTAAATATGGGACACACAAGAACTTCAAAGGCAAAGTCAACTTTTTGTGAGCAACGAGTTTGTCAAAATTCCTTCGTCCTCTGTTTATATGGAATTAAATCCAAGAACCTGTCTCCTCTGAGAATTTTTTCTATCTCTTGCAGTTAACATAAGCTTGAGTTGGAAATCAAAAAGAATGCTAAGGAAACACTCATAGTTTGATTTATACATTTCAAAGCCAACAACTTCTTTTCCTTTACTCACCCCTTTGGCAGGATGGCCTCAATTACGTGTGATATCGGCCCCATTTGAGTCCACCATATTGCTTGTAGCACTGGGACATTGGAAAGGATAAACCTTATTCTGCAATAAGCCTGGTCCAAGACTTAATTTGAAGACTGACCTTTTTGGTTTAATAATTTTGATTCTTCTGGCCATCTTTCTCCCTAAACACACTAAACTTCCATTGAAGTTGCTGAAGGCCACAGACAGGAGAAACACAGCTGGGAGGAATCTGGCTTGATGTTTTTCCCATTGGCTAAGGTCATATTATTTCCTTGACTAATGTCTGACTTGAAGGTTGAAAACCAATTGGTTATATAACATTTTATGCACCCAGTTTCCCAGAACTTCTAGCTTTACTTTCTTATTGTTACAGTTTAACTACATATTTTTACTAAAAAAGGGATAAAATCTATAGCTTAATAAAATAGTATACATATAGCATTTAGATTTAAAGGTTACACGTATAAAAAGTGCCTACATACGTAACTAAGAAAACAATTAATGCTATTTTTCTTCAGTTTTTTTTCCTTTCAGGTATGATAAATGCATTTTTTATTTTGAATCTCAGTTCAGTGGTATGCAGAGTATATTTAGGGTCACAGTAATTGGTAAATTTTCTCTATCTAGTCTGTATTGAATTGTATAGTTAAATAACAAATAGTGTTTTAAATGGGACCAAATTCTTAAATATAATGAGATGGTATATTTATTTAGCAAACCCTTTTTTTTTTAGGAAGGGATAAATACCTCAAATTGTTTTACTCAGGATTTGTGCTTATTATAAACACAACTACACATCATATGGTAGCCAAGAATGTGAATGATTATTGAGTCATTTTCCAAGATTCTTACACCCCCTCCCCAAACAAACTGTCCTAGTATTTTTTCTCAATTTAAAACAAAACAAAACAGAAAATTTGTGATTTTCATGGCCTTCAAATGAGGAAGCCGTTCTCACGAAAGCATCTGGTTTTCTTGGATCCAAACTAAACTATGAACCTTAGCTGGCAACTCAATTTGGGGAAGTTTGTATATAAAGGCATTTCATGCACCAAAGTATGATATAAAAATAGTTACATTTTTCAACTTTTAAGCTCTCAAATGTTTAGCAAGAGAAACATATCAACTTATCCCTATTTGAGAAAAATTTAAACCATGAAAGATTCCATTTAGTTTCATTTCTGTACAAAACAGGACACATTTAAGGCTGAAGGAAACACACTGAGAAGCAGAACTTTTTTTTTTTTTTTTTGAGACAGAGTCTCACTTGTTGCCCCAGGTAGAGTGCAGTGTGTCATCACAGTTCACTGCAACTTCAAACTCCTGGGCACAGGCGATCCTCCTGCCTCGGCCTCCTGAGTAGCTGTGACTACAGGAGTAGCTGGGCCTGCAGGAGTCCACTACCACGCCCAGCTAATTTTTTTTGTTGTTGTTGTTGGAGATGGGGTCTCACTTTTGCTGAGGCTGGTCTTGAACTCCTGACCTCAAGCGATCCTCGCGCCTTGGCTTCCCAAAGTGCTAGGATTACAGGTGCGAGCGACTGTGCCTTGTGAGAAGCAGAACTTTAGATTCCAAGCCCCCAGATGACTTTCAGAGAAGTAACCCTTACTTTTGATTGTAAACCAGTATGCTCTACTTTGGTAAAACGAGCCCCATCTTCAGCTTCTAACCTCTATCTGGGGTTTGTAGCACCTGCATATCTTGTCAGGGGCACCCAATTAGAGAAGGATTTTTATGTCACATGTGTTTGGCTACTCTTACGGGTGAGGCCCTCGGAATATTTCTGTGGCTGGGCGTCCCTTCTTCCTTACCATAGCTTGACTCTGATATGGGTGCAAAGTCCTGTGATAATTGGGGATGTGAACTTGCTCACCATGCTCTCTACAGGAATACACCGGATTTCTAAACTTAGCTACGTGTTAGCTGCCTTTCAGGAGGATGGTTGAAACAATATATGATCTGATGACCTCCACCCTTTGTAATGTAGAACCCTTATGTTTTTGGGCATATAAATGGGAACGTAGAAAAAAAAATACTACTACAGTCAAAATGGAGCCATGCAATATTTATCATCTATACTTCTTACAATAACTTGCTATATTTTAAGAAGCTGAAGTTGAACAATTGCCATTCTCTAGGATGAATGCTCTTTTTTTCAAACTGCCAGATGCTGGATCATGCCCAATCTGTCTTCTGTGCACTCTCCGTAAGTCCCCACAACTTAATACCCTCTCATGTTTTATTCTTTCAGTAAAGCATTTTGACTGGCATTATTTAAATAAAAAGAAAAGTTACAATTTATCCTTGGATATTAGAGCTCTGTGTCATCTTAGCTATATACTTCACTGGAAATAAAAGATCGGAATACTGGCTTAAAGCAATATTTTTTTAACTAAATTAGTGGACACTAAACTACCAACAGTTCAGATGTTACAATTTAAAAGTAAGAAAATATTCTGAGGGAAAGTAGGATATTATATGTTCCTTAGTCACTAATTGACAGTTTCCTTAAATTCTGATTTAATATTTTTTTTAAAATCATACTTGCTTTAAAATAAAAAAGGCCCAACCGAATTTTTATAGTATCAGGTTTTCCATTAAATTACAGTTTCCTTTTGTTTTTTCTTACAAATTTTTCAATTAAGAGTCAGGTGTACTTGTGAGTCATTTGAAG